ACCCTGGCCGTTGTGGCCAATTGGGGAGTGAACCAGCAGATGGAAGACTCTCTCACTCACTTTCTCTCTCTCTCTCTCTCTCTGCCTCTCCTTCTCTCTGTGTAACTCTGGCTTTCAAATAAATAAATATATCTTAAAAATATATATCTTGGGGGCCGCCGCTGTGGTGTAGTAGGCTAGGCTTCCACCTGTGGCGCCGGCATCCCATATGGGCGCCGGTTCTAGACCCAGCTGCTCCACTTCCAGTCCAGCTCTCTGCTGTGGCCTGACAGAGCAGTGGAGTGGAAGATGGCCCAAGTGCTTGGGTCTCAAATCCACATGGGAGACCTGGAAGAAGCTCCTGGCTCCTGGCTTCAGATCGGCCCAGCTCCAGCCATTGCGGCCATCTGGGGAGTGAACCAGAGGATGGAAGCCCTTTCTTCTCTCTCCCTCTCTCTCTCCGTAACTCTACCTCTCAAATAAATAAAATCTTTAATATATATATATATATATACACACACACACACTGTTGTTGAATTTATCTGGGAGACAGACAAATTGAGTAAGCTCCCATCCACTGGTTTACTCTCCATATGCCCACGACATCTGGTGCTGGGGCAGACCAAAGCCAGGAACTCAAAGCCAGTTCCCCATGTGATAGCAGGAACCCAAATATTTGAGCCATTTCCACTGCCTCCCAGGATGCACATTAGCAGGGACCTGGAATCAGGAGCAGAGCTGGGACTCGAACCCAGGCACTCCAGTATGGTATGCTGGCACTGTAACCAGTGTCTTAACCACTAGGGCAAACGCTCACGCCAGAGCGTCCTATGAATAAACATGGTGGTTATTCAGCTGTATGCGATTACCAAAACTCAGCAGAATATACACATAGAGTTGATGAATCAGGTGGAATACAAACGTCTATCTCAATCAAGATGGAGGGGAAGAAGGAGATTATATAACAAGAGTTTGGAACTGTCACAATCTTAGAGTAAAAAGCAATCCTTTATGTTGGATAAATTTTGCTCTTAGAAAAAATTCATGAGTGCATGTGGGGCCAGCGCAGTGGAGTAGTGGGTAAAGCCGCTGCCAGCAATGCCAGCTTCCCATATGGATGCCAGTTAGAGTCCCAGCTGCTCTACTTCCGATCCAGCTCTCTGCTATGGCCTGGGAAAGCAGTAGAAGATGGCCCAAGTCCTTGGGCCCCTGCACCTGCATGGATGACTGGGAAGAAGCTCCTGGCTTCGGATCAGTGCAGCTCCAGCTGTTGCAGCTCCATCCATTCCAGCGGATGGAAGACCTCTCTCTTCTCTGCCTCTCCTCTCACTATGTAACTTTCCCTCTTTAAAATAAATCTTTTTTTAAAAATGTCCATGTTTTGCTCAGTTCTTCATGAAGACACAAAATAATCCATTACAGAGCAGGGGGGTGGAATGGTATGCCCAAAAGAAGAGTGAGACTGGTCATCCAGTCCACTCCTGGATCCCCCACCTACAAGGCACTGGCAGGTCAGTGGTAGGATCTGCTGACCTGCGCCTTCCCATTGGCCTGGCACACAGGAGGCAGTGGGAGGCCAGGGGAAGCCAGGAGCACCTGCAGCTGCAGCGTGGACTCGGGTCGCACAGCCACAGCTCCAGCTCTGGTAGCCCCTCTTACGACAGCACTGAGGAGGATCTGTGGCCATTTTTCTTCCTCTTACCTTTGTTTTTGGAATGTTTAAAAATTTATAATCATTTTATATTTTAATTTTTCTGTTTTAGAAGCAGTAAATGATCATTCGAGAGAATGTGAAAAAATTGTTCAAGCAGTTAAGACATAGCATTCACAACACAGAGAGAGCCCCACTGTTAGCTCCGTAGTGCATTCCCTTGGGCACGATGCATAGGTATGTGAACATACATCTGTTTGTGTCCATTTATATGTGTGTGTCAGTAGACATAGTGTGCACACATACACACAAAGTCTGTGTTTGCAAACAATGATCATATTACACATGCCATTCTACAAGCTTTTTTTAAAATTGTAATCTACCATCCTACTCCAATAATTCTCATCTTGCCATTTTCAGATTTTTGCAAAGGAGCCAAAATGTTCTGTCTTGTCTACTTGAGTATCCAAACTGGAACCACACGTTACAGCTGAATGCTGAGTCCCTGCCAGGTTTTTTAACTGAATCCCTTAATTCTGTGGCATTGACTTACACAAGACACCAGCTGCTTTCTGGATTTGTCTGGCGGCTCTCTTGTGTCATTTAGCTTGTTCCTCTATCCACTGCATTTCCATTAAACTGGAAGTGACGTCTTAAGACTTCAGGGGTCCAGGCTAACCGAAGGGGGCATAGTACATGTAGCTAATGCACTTGCTGCTGCACAGGTTTACCACTGGGTGTGTGATGCACCTCATGATGCAAACATGATCACTGTAGTGCTGTGGGGACTGCCGTTTCTCCTAACGGTTGTAACGCCAGTGGATAATTCCTGTGTTTTGAAGTGTGGGTTTTATTATTGTTCAAGGCCAGTAGATCAAGAGGTTATTGATATTATAATGACTTGTCATTCACAGTTCCCAAGAGGAGGGTCTTGGGAAGAGCCACATGTGGCACGTGAGGGTGGGTTAGGGAGTGAAGGAGAAACGTGGGCTAGGGTCTTTGTGGTTTCTGTGGCAAGGAGCAGGCAAAGCAGGCTAAGCAGACCTGAGATTGGCCACTGGACCATTTCAGCAGGCTCTGGGGTATGGGGGCCATCACTGGTGATTTGATGCTTGGCCCTCTGGTCTAAGAGCCTGACAAAGAAGGGTCAGTCCATGGGCTCTGTTGGCTTGTCTGCATTTAAATGGTGCTTTGGGAGGACCCCTTGCTCACTGTAGGAACTGGCTGGTCCTGGGAGGGGCAGTCTCCCCAGGGTCAGCGGTGCCAGCAATCAAAGCAGTAGAAACAGAGAAGGCAGAAATGCAAGAGTAAAACAGCATTTGTCAAATTACGTTTTTCCAATTTTATTCTTTTTTTGTTTATTAGCTGCCACTCTTTTTTTTTTTTTTTCAAAAGGAAGGATTGTACTTTTTTTTTTTTTAAGATTTAATTGATTTATTTAAGAGTTAGAGTTACAGAGGGAGGGAGGGAGGGAGGCAGAAAGGTCTTCCATCTGCCGGTTCACTTCCCAAATGGCCATAACAGCTGGAGCTTCTTCTGGGTCTCCCACACAGGCACAGGGGCCCAAGCACTGCTTTTGCAGGCCATAAGCAAAGAGCTGGGTTGGAAGAGGAGCAGCCGGGACATGAACTGGCACCCATATGGGATTCTGGCCCTGCAGGAAGAGGCTTGGCCTACTATGCCACAGCACTGGCCCCTCCTCTATTTTATTTTGAAGTGGTTTTCCCCTTGGAAATAACTTATTTTCATCAATTTCAGGTAAAACTAAAGAGTAGTCACTAACTATGAGACTACTGCAACCCAGTGACTCATTCACTGCAAGTACACTGAGAGAATCAGTACGTTGGATGCTATTCCGGATACAAGAGATGGGACAGGGTAGAGAACTGTCAAAACTCTCTACATGCTCGAAACTTGCACTCCAGTGAGCGGATTAGAATAGACAATAAACAAGATAACACAAGTAAACTCTCTTGTATTTTAGATGGTGACATGCTTGTACAAAGAGAATAACAATACTGCAGGGAAGCAGAAGTGTTGGACAAGTTGAGTTGGTCACAGTGGGACGTATGATGGATGGGTCACCTTGAAGTAAAGCCTCAAAGGCCCTGAGGAGGTGAGGCCTGTGGCTGTCTGGGAAGAGTGTTCCAGGCGAGGGAGCAGCAGGTGCCACAGCCCTGGGGCAGGTTAAAGAAAAGCGAAGAGGCCGGTGGATTGGAGCAAGGGGGGCGTATGGGTGAGGCCAGAGGTGGCGGGGCCCAGAGCATGCGTGTGCAGAGCTGGCTGCAAGCCACCGGAGTATTTGAGTAAGCGCCAACACCCAAATGTCACAACGGGCTTTCTGCTTCTACTCGCCTCATTCCCAGGCGCTGTGAAGTCCACTAGGTCAGTGTGCAGTGACCACAGTGTCCTATCCACTTATTCCTTGAATGCGCCTGACTGCGGGCAGTGTTTTAGGCACTGTGTAGACAGAGTGAGGGAAATGCAGAGGCCTGGGCCCCCGCCTCATGGTGCCTAAGGGATGAGAGGTGGTAAAATAATCTGCCCGGCAAAAATGAAACACCCCCGTGCCTCCACCCCAGTCCTGAGGGTCAGAGGCAGCTGCCCTGAGGAAGGGGCTCCTGGTCAGTATCTGAAGGGCCAGAGCATCCACAGGTGGGGGGAGGAGAGGATGGTCCCAGGCAGAAAGGACAGCGGAAGGGGGCAAGGCGCGGGGTGGAGGCCTGAGCACGACTCAGCGCGAGCAACGGGATGCCCTCAGCAGAGGTGCCGGCCGGGCCCTGCGGTTCCCTCTGAGACTGGGTGCAGAAGGGCCTGGGCACTCAAGATGGGTGTTGTCTGACCACAGTCACTGTGGTACAGGGTAGCCAAGGTGGTGGTGGGCCGTCATGAGGAGGCCCTGGGTTCCAGAGACACTGGGACTCACCAGGACTCCTGGCGTAATCAACAGGACGAGGGGTGGAGCTGCCAGGCCCAGCTGGCCTGGGCGCACACGGCACATTCACCTTGAGGTTGACATTTCTCCCCGACCTTTTTGCGCACATAACGCCTGCTGAGTTTAATCAAGTTTGTCATTGTGCTTGTAAATCCCCAGTCTTGATGATGGCAGGGAGTGAAGGGATAAGTGATCTATTTCCAGAACCCAAAGAGGTTTAGGATAAAAAGCAGCTTCCAGTTTGCCACCACACCTTCCCCGGGTGGACTGGATGGCCCGTGCTCTCTCGGGATCCTCAGGAAGGAGACTGGGGCACCTGCTTAATGCTTGGAACTGCTGAAGCGATCAGTTCCCTATCTCAACACTAATCCAATTTCCGCTCTACTCCTTAAATGGGATTTGACTTCTAGACACTGAGAGCTGGGTGCTGGGCCCCCTGGCCAGATCCCCTACAAATTCCCACACACGTCAGCCGGGGGCTTCACCTGTACCTCCGCCAGGTCATCTGGTAGGACAACCCCCTCTGGCTCAGGACAGGGGCTGGCTGCTCATTGTCTGAGCACAGAGGGACCCTCTCCTGGCCGCCTGGGTCAACTCACCTGGTTGGTGACAAATCACAAGGTATGTGACCATCACAACCCAAGCCTTCTCCGAAGCCCAGACCAGGATGGGCATTGTCACAGAGTCACTCTGTCTTGGTTTTGCCTTTTCTGTGTGGTTTCCATCAAATTGTCCTTACTAAGGAAACTCAGCATTTCAGTTCAGACCACACAGATGGCGTCTCATTTGTGTGTGAAACTGGGGAGTGATAAAAGGGACAGCAGGCAAAGATCCGAATAGAACTTTGGTATTTTAATGTATTCTTGCAAACTGTATTTGTGAAGTGAGTACGTTGTGGTGTTCACGAACTTTTTTGTAGTTGTTTGCCATAAGGCGCAGTCACAACAGACTTCTAGATGCAACCTGGCCGTGTGTGACAACACCAAAGGTTGATCAGAGCGTAGCACCTTCTTGTTGGAATGCAGCAGGACTTCCTGGGGAAGTTTGTTAAGAAGTGTTTAAGGCTTAGAAAAATAAAACACATTGTGGGGGGAGGGGGAGTGTTGAGACCACAATAAGACACAACCTAAACAAAGACCTTATTTAGTCCAGCATGGATGTTGAAGTAGGTGGATGGAAGTGGCCAATGGCTGTGCTGTTCTTGACTTTATGTATCGGATCGTCTCTCTTTTGCCAGCCCTCTAACACCTGACCTGCAGTCCACAGTGGAAGAAGCTGCCAGCACCAGACAGCATGGCAGCCACCACGAAGAGCAGCAAGTCCCATGTCATCTTCAAGAAGATCTCCCGGGACAAATCGGTAAGTGGCCCCGCAGCGAGTGGGGACTGAAGAAGTGGTAAGATTGAGATCAGTACCTTCTGAGGTCCAGGAAGCTCTGTGTCTATTGCAGTGGACCACTGATGAGACAGAAGCGAGTGAGTCACGTGCAGAAATACAGCCTCTCTCCCATCTCATCAAGACCTTGATCTTGTTCCCTCCTAATCTCCCAGTTGCTGCAGCTTTCCTGCTAGGCGGCCCTGAGGCTGGGACTGACGATGTCAGGCACTGGCGTCCAGACCTGAGGCTCGCTGGGCCTTTGCCCGTCAGCTCCTGTCCCTGGGGAAAGCTCAGATGCTGGACCAGTGAGACATGGACCTCTCTCCTCTCTGCACACCTCCCTCTCTCCCACGTCCCAGACCTCAGCTGGCCTTTCGGGACTGTAGGCTAAGGGAACTCGCCCGGCTGGCTCCCTCTCCACCACTGTCCAGGGGCACACTGGATGACCTAGCTTTGCCCATGAACTTCCTGGCATGGGGGAGCTACAGGAGGGAGTGGGGGCTCCTTTCTCCACTCAGTGATCTCTCCGGCGTTGACAGCCTACGTAGGCACCATTCGACACAAGCCACCTAGGGAGTTTTAAATTTCCCAGTAGCTATATTAAAGAAGAAACTGATGGAATTCATCTTAATTCATCCTACATTTTATTTAACCCAATCTATCCACCCAAACTATCATTTCAATGTAAACAATGTAAAAATTATTGGTGACACGTCCTATGTTCCTGTACTGAGTCATTGAGGTCTGGTGTGCGTTTACATTTGCAGCCCATGCGATTTGGAGTGGCTATTCTCCAAGGGCCCATCACCTCCTGTGACTGGTGGCTGCCGTACTGGGTAGTGAGCGCTTGATCATTCTTCCAGCTCACTTCTGAGGCTCCTGTGGGCCCAGCAAAAACCCTCCAGGCCTTACTGTGCCACGGAGAAAGCTTTGCACACATTCTCTCTCTGCCCTCTCCTTTCGGTTTCCTTTTTTTTTTTTTTTTTTAATTTATTTATTTGAAAGGCAGAGTTACAGAGAGAGACAGAGAGAGGTATTCCATCTACTGGTTCACTCCCCAAATGGTCACAATGGCCAGAACTGGGCTGATCTGATGCCAGGAGCCAGGAGCTTGTGCCAGGTCTCCCACGTGGGTGCAGGGGCCCAAGCACCTGCTTTCCCAGGTGCATTAGCAGGGAGCTGGATTGGAACTGGAGCAGCCAGGACTTGAACCAGCGCCCATAGGGGATGCCTACACTGCAGGCGGCAGCTTTACCTGCTATGCCACAGCTCCAGCCCCCCTCTGCTTTCTAAGCTGGGGAATTGGGGTGACAAGTTGGGTGCCCCCCAGCCTTTCCCACTCCAAGTCCTTTCCCTGGCTGTGTCTTCCCCGTGCACTTTATCTTGACTCCCGGCAGAAGAGGAGAGAAGCTGCTTTTTCTCCCGACACCTATCTAGACAGCCCTTGGACCAAGACATTTAGAGCTGTTAGAACTCTTGAAAAGCTCTTCCATGACTCATGGATTAGCGTCATTTCAACCTCCTCCTCTGTACCGCTCCCGGCATGGCGTGCTGGGGCTCTGCTCCCACGTCTCTGGGAGTCTCTCATCTCTGGCCTCTGCTGTGACTTCTTGGTCCCCGAGCTGGTGCGGTGGGGTTGGGGGCACCCCTGCTCCAGGTGCCCCACCTCACTAGACAGCATCCAAAGATGGGGGAGGCTATGGCTTCCTGGGGACCCCCTTCAGGGGCGGAAGCTCCTTCCCAGACCTTTATTTAATCGATCAAGACCTGTTCATGTGCCCACCCTCAACTGATCCCGGGCCAGTGGAAGGGAAAGGTCATGATTGGATCAGACCAATCAAGAGCCACTGCACAGGGGCCACCTCCTAGTGCGACCTCATGGAGGCTGGTGGGCCCTGAACACAGTGGGCAACTTTTATCCAGGAAGAGGGGGCACGTGCCTGTGGGGTGGGCCCTCAGCAGGCTGCTACCATCTCACGTGGCGCCTCCCACGTCTCTGCCTGCTCCTGTGGTCCCCCTCCTGCCACTCATACACTGGGTGACCTGGGCCACCACCTGCCCAGGGGCCTACACCTTCACCATCCCCCTGCTTTGACCATTGTACCCCCCCCTTTCTCTCTCTCTCTCTCTCTCTCTCTCTCTTTCTCTCTTTCTCTCTTTCCTGCCTGAGCAGAAAAACAAGTCCCTGACCTTGGACATCTTAGAAAAACACCACCACCCTTCCCCCACCCCAGGCTCCTGGCCCTATCCCCTTTCTGGCTCTTCTCACAGGCAAAGCTTGAAAGAGAAGAAAACAGTCTCTCCACCCCCCTCCCCTCTTCCTGCCACCTGCACTTCTGTCCTCTCTCCTCCCAACCACGATCAGGCTGCCACGTGGGCTTTCCCCCGTGCCACCCTGTTGTCTATGAGCCAAGCCCAGTGTTCTCTGGAAGACTGGGCTAGCTCCTGTCTCACGGAGTCATTGTGAGGATTAAATGAAACAGTACAGAGTGCTTCAGTGAACACCTGGTGAGCACAGACCTGCTAAGTCCTTGCAGCTGTCTCATTGCATCCTGCTTAACATGTTTCTTGGTCTCCCCAGTCTCCCTGGGGTCCGGCCCTGTAAGACCCTTTCTGGCATCAGCCTACATCCATACGGGGTGGCCTCTCGCCAGCCACATAGGCCATGGGCAGTTCTGAAGTGTTGCCTTGGCTCTGAGCTTTGCGTATGTTGGTCTTGTGTTCAGAGAGTGCCCCTCACTGTCCCCCCCACCCCGGCTGAGATGTGGCCCTTGGGTCTCTGCAGAGGCAGCCTTATCTGGAAGAGCCTTGGCTCTCTTGTCCCTCCCCTCCCCAGAGGCTCCCTCCTCGCCCACCTCTTCCCTGGCAGTTTCCCAAACCAAAGAGCGGGGACCTAGCAGGCCCATGAGATGCCTTGTTTGGTTTCTATCCCCAGTGCCCCATAGAGCTGCAGGGGCCTCCGTGCCAGGGCATGCAGTGCCTGTCTGCATTGTGGGACTCAGAGGCTAGCAAGAGACGGCTCCGCAAACACGGCCAAAATGTCGTGCGGCCAGTGCTGGGCAGGACAGTGCCAACCGCAGTGCAGGTCGCCCAGGTAGAGAGCAGCAAGAGGCCGTTCCCCGCTTCAGAAACCACGGGAACAGAGGCACAAACCTGTGATGTCTGGGGGGCGCTGGCAGAGCTGCCGAGGTCTGAGCCCCGGCCATAGAGGGGCGGAGAGGTAATGACCTTGTCAGCTGGATGATACTCCGCAGGACACCAGCATGCGGCCCCCCGTTATTGCTCAGCGGACCACAGTATGCTAGCACTCCCGGAAGGCAGGTGACACCCTCCAAGCAGGTGGATTTGAGGAGAGTCTTCGAAAGGGGCTACTGATTAAGGCACGGGCAGGCATGGAAGAGACAGAAAGAAAATGCTCAACACAAGACACCAGGGCTAGTAGCAGCTGGGCGCTGGTGCCTCCCTGCAGGCCTCTGCCGGAAGCCGAGATCCCACAGAGAGGCGACAAACATCTGCTTCCCCCCTCCCTCTCTCAGCACCTGGCCCACCTCTCCTGTGAGCAGAAGGCCAGGAATCCAGCAGGGTGATTCACTCGGGGCAGCTCCCAGGGTGCAGGGTGGACCTGGAGGGTGTCTGACCCACGGTGTTGGGGGAGCAGGCGCGTGCAGCCCCGGGAGCACCTCACGGTGTGGGTCCCCATCAGCGCCACCAGGCCTCTGAGGCCTCCAGCCTGCGCTGTGCCCTGGGTTTATCAAGTTTCCCGTGGAATGTTCTCTGTAAACCAGAGTTCTGGTGGCCTTTGCTTGAAGTCACTTCAACATCAATCAATCCTGTAAATAACCTCGTAGGCATGTCTGATGTGAAGTGATGAGGGGGTGGAGTACCAGAGATGATGTAATGCCCCCAAAACGATTGCTCACGTTCATGGGAATAAAAATATACACTTGAGAGGCTTAGGGAAAAGGGGCAGCCAGGGCGCCTCTCTGGTTCCTGGTGCACTTGGCAAACACCTGTCGGACTGCTTTGTGCACCAGATTCTGCTCAGCCCAGCAGTGTTGTAACAAGGAGGGGAGAGTTTTTGCTCCATAGCTGGAAGAAGGCAAATGGGTGGGAGGAGCCTCATCGCCTGGGGTAACTTTCCTCCAAAATATCAGTTAACCCAGCGACGTCTGGTCATTTCAGCTCGATGGGGGAAAGGAGGAGAGAAGAGGGAGCCCCTGACCACCCAGCGGGCTGGGAGCAGACAAATGAGGCAGAGGACAGAGCGCACCTTACCTGACGCCCTCTGTCTGCCCACAGCCAAGCTGGGAGAGAGAAAATGGCGGAGACACTGCAGAGCAGAAGGGCTCCTCTTGCCAAGCGGCGGTGGCTGCTGGTCTCTACCGCGAATGCCTTAGCTTAGCGTTCTTTAACCACTCACAAAGCAACTCCCATCTTCCCGCAGGTGACCATCTACCTGGGGAAGAGAGACTATATAGACCACATCAGCAAAGTGGAGCCTGTGGGTGAGTAGACCGTGGAGCCGAATTTTTCTTTTTTTCAAATATAAAGATTTGTTTGTTTATTTGAAAGGCAGGGACTGAGAGGGAGAGACAGAGAGACATCCGCCATCAGCTGGGTCACTCCCCAAATGTCCATGATGGTCGGGCTGGGCCAGGCCAAAGTCAAGAGCCTGGAACTCATCCAGGTCTCCCAAGGCCTTGGGCGATCTTCCGCTGAAGGGACATTAGTAGGAAGCTGGATTGGAAACAAAAAACTGGGCCTTGAATCGGTGCTCATATAGGATGCCAGTGTCTCAGGTGGCAGGTTAACCCACTGCGCCACAATGCTGGCACCTATAGTTAAATTTTCACACTGGTTTTCTTTTAAGTTGACATACAACTGCTAGTTTGATTTTTTAAAAACTCAGCTTTGGGGTAGTTCTGTGACACAGCAAGTTAAGCCACAACCTGTGGCACCGGCATCCCATGTGGACACTGGTTCAAGTCCTGGCTGCCCCACTTCTGATCCAGCTCCCTGCTAATGACCTGGAAACACAGTGGAAGATGGCCGAAGTGCTTGGGCTCCTGCTATGCACGTGAAAGACCCAGAGGAAGCTCCTGGCTCCTGGCTTCAGCCTGCCCCAGCCCTGGCCTTTGTGGCCATCTAGGGAATGAACCAGCAGACGGGAGATCTCTCTGTCTCGCAGTCTCTGTCTCTCTTTTTTTAAGATTTTATTTATTTATTTGACAGGTAGAGTTACAGACAGTGAGAGAGAGACAGAGAGAGAGACAGAGAGAAAGGTCTTCCTTCCGTTGGTTCACTACCCAAATGGCCGCCATGGCCGGCGCTGAGCCGATCCGAAGTCCGGAGCCAGGAGCTTCTTCCTGGTCTCCCACATGGGTGCAGGGGCCCAAGCACTTGGGCCATCTTCTACTGCTTTCCCAGGCCACAGCAGAGAGCTGGACTGGAAGAGGAGAAACTGGGACTAGAACCGGCGCCCATATGAGATGCTGGCACCACAGGCAGAGGATTAATCTAGTGTGCCATGGTGCTGGCCTCTCTCTCTCTCTAACTCTACATTTCAAAAAAACAATAAATAAATCTTTAAGAAAAACCTCAGCCCCACTCATGATCTAACTGGAAAAAATGCAAATTAAAACCTCAGTGAGCTGCTACTGGCTGACTGGAAGCAAGTTCACAGTGTGAGGAGCCAAAGGGCTCATTTCTAGAATATACGAAGAACCTCGGAACTCAACAGTTACAGAAAGAAAACAAAAGACGAAGCCAGTGAGAGAATGGGCTGGAGACACGAAGAACAATTTCATCAGAGAAGACACTGGGCTGGCAGATGAGCACGTGCGGAAGAGGCAGCTCCGCCAGCCCCGGGGAGGCCCAGGTGGGGGCCGCAGCAGCTGTCACCACACACCTGTCGGAATGGCTGCATGGAAAGGCAGTGACAGCACCAAAGGTTGAAGTTGCTTAGTAAATGCTGACCGTCTGACCGACAGTTGTTTCATCCCAGAGAGCGAAAACTTAGGTCCATGCACAGATGTCTTACAGTATATTGATCACAAATACATTCATAATTCCAGGCTTAAGTGAGCATACTTCAAAATAGATTTTTATGTATATATCTGAGAAACAGCGAGATACAGAGAAACAGAGAGCTCCCGTCTGCTGGTTCATTCCCCAAACACCTGCAACAGCTCTGGTTGGGTTGGGCCAAAACTGGAAGACGGAGACCTATATTGCCTGATTACTCACAGCAGTTTTATTCCTGATAGCTTCGTACTAGAAGGAAGCAAAAGTCCCTCCAAAGAGTGAATACGGTGAAACATATTGTGGGCGTATGTACCATGGAATAGGACTCAGCAGTGAGAAAGGACGACTGATGGGGCCGGCGCTGTAGCGCAGTGGGTTAACGCCCTGGCCTGAATCCCTGGCATCCCATATGGATGCCAGTTTGAGACCCGGCTGCTCCTTTTCCAATCCAGCTCTCTGCTAATGGCCTGAGAAAGCAGTAGAAGATGGCCCAAGTGCTTGGGCCCTTCCACCCATGTGGGAGACCTGGAAGAAGCTCCTGTCTTTGGATTGGCCCAGCTCTGGCTATTGCGGCCATTTGGGAAGTAAACCAGTGGATGAAAGATCTCTCTCTCTCTATATATATATATATATATAAAACTCTGCCTCCCAAATAAATTAATAAAAAAATAAATTTGATGAATTCCTAAAAAATTTTATGGAGAGAGATAAAGATTTATGTATAAAGATGTTCCTCACAATATTAATTATAATGGGGAAGATTCAAAACTTTCCTAATAGGAGTTGGTTAATATATGGTACATCTATTCAATGGAGTAATAAGTAGCTATTCACTTGATTAGTACTTGCTTAATCCTGATGCCTTCCCTGTGCGTAACTTCTCACTCTAACTGTTGGGTCATGAATATGGACTACAAGGTACAATGAAAACTCTTGTTTTCTAAGACAGCTCTGGTTTCTTCCATCTCACCCTTGTTCTCCTCTCCCTCTTTTCATTTAGATGGTGTCGTTCTGGTTGATCCTGAGCTTGTGAAAGGAAAGAAAGGTGAGGTGGAGTAGGGGCCCAGCCTCCAGGCTGACTCTGGGAGGGAGGCCTTTGTGTGTCGGGAGGGACAGGGCAGGCAGCTGGCCACTCTCTCACACATGCACTCGGGACCAGGCCTGTTTCCCCGCCCTCTCCACATCACATCTGAGCCATTCTCCAGGGTGGCCAGTAGGTGACATGGCAGACCAAGTCCAAGCCCATGTCTGTTCACTCCATCACCTATGTGCTTGCTCCTGCATCATGTGATTCTAGGCCAGCAGCAAACCCTGGACAGCTCCTTGGTGGTTGTATCTAGAAGGCAAGAGGAGTGACACCCAGATTTTATTATTTGCTTGCTTGCTTGCTTATTTATTTATTTATAAGAGAGAGAGCAAGAGTTACCACCTACCGGTTCACTCCCCAAGTGCCTACAACAGCCAGGGCTGGGCCAGGCTGAAGCCAAGAGCCTGGAACTCAATCCAGGTCTCCCATGTGGGTGACAGAGACCCAAGTGCCTGAGCCATCTGCTGCCTCCCAGCACGCACATTAGCAGGGGGCTGGATGGGGCTCCAATATGGGACGTGGGCTCTGTGCCAGATGCCCGCCTCCAGGATTTCTTTTTGTGTTTACTCAGTGTTTTTGAACGATGGTATCACAGCACCCTGGGAAACCTCTCTTTGCTGTGGTGTGCACGGCAAGCCACTTGTTACTGATAACAGTCGCATAAACTGAATTGGGGCAGATTCAAGTTATCCTTAGGACCAATGTCATTAACTCCGCTCTCTTCTAAATATTCTAAATATTCCATTCTAAGTCTTTTTGAGTGGCTGCACTGCTCATCACAGAGAGTTGTTCCTACCCCTGGATCTGCCTGCTGGGACAAGTCAGGTGTGGGGCCATTGGCAGCGAACGGGACATGGCAGAAATGGGGCCAAACCTCCACCTGGCCTGTGGCATCTCCCCTCCTCCTGAGTGCCCTGAGCCCTGCAGAGGGGAAGGCTGGTGCCTGGTGAGGGCAGGTGGAAAACCAGGTCATTGTGGAGCCCCTTCATCACCCCGACCTTGGACGAGGGCTAGGCAAGTGCTCGGCGGCTCTTCCCACTTAGCGGTGAGGGGCAGTTACGCCTGGGGCTGACAAAGCCCCCAGGCAACAGCCAGCAAGTACTTGGACGTGCTGCTTCCGACACGCTTCACCTCTGAGGAACACGCTCTTCCCACAGTGAAGACAACGGCAAGCAGTCCAACCCGTGGGGAGCTTTCCTGCGGTGCTCTCGGTCCACGGGGGCACAGTCGGGGTCTTCAATCCCATGGAATTTTCAGAAGTGGTGGTTTAGAGAACGCTTGCTGGGCTGCAGAACAACGTGCAAGGAACAACTGCACACTTCCTGGCTGGGCGTCATCTCCCCTCGGGGCCCGGGCGTCCCTCCCGGGTGCTGGGCCAGCCTCGCACGCAGTTCTCCGGAGCACTGTTCGCCTCTTTCTCACCTTCAGCCTTAACTCCCTGGGCACATCCTGCCCTCCAGAGCTGGAACGGCGCGGTACTGTTTCCATGCGTCCTGAGGCCCCTAAGCTGGCGCGTGATGGGGACGGGGCAGAAGTGGGGAGGAAAGTGGAGCAGGTGGACACACCGTGCTCTCTGCCCACAGATCTCAGCCATCCTGGCTACATAAGGAGGCTGGAAGGAAGACACCCCGGTCCTCTGACAGCCGTTAGAGCAATGAACTTGCCCCCTAGGGAAGGTGCTGATTCTCCATGAATGTGTGGAGCAGCTGGGTGGTGGGGCTGTCTCGGATCCCACCCCCAGCAGGTGCTAAACGTGGGAAACCTGTGGTCAACAGGGCTGTGGGTTACTCCCCGCCCCCCAGTCCCTGTGCACTCAGCGACAGTGGGCGCCAGGCCAAGGGGACCCAGTCCAATGCTCTCTGCATCTTCTTCCCAGTGTACGTCTCTCTGACCTGCGCCTTCCGCTACGGCCAGGAGGACATCGACGTGATCGGCCTGACCTTCCGCAGGGACCTGTACTTCTCCCGGGTCCAGGTGTACCCTCCCGTGGGTGCCTCGAGCGCCCCCACCAAGCTGCAGGAGAGCCTGCTCAAGAAGCTGGGGGCCAACACATACCCCTTCCTGCTCACGGTGGGTGACGCCTGGCCTCGCCCGCTCCCCCGGCCCCACTGCCTTCACCCACGCACCTTGGAAGGGGAGGGGAGCAAAGGGAAGGGGAGAGGGGGGCTTTGCATCTGTGGGCCTGTAAATTGCACCCTGGAAAGAAATTTTGGATTGCAGGGCCTGTGATTGTCTTTTTTTAAGTCCTCAAAAACAGGCTCTTAGCTTGGCCAGCGCCGTTTCCACCTACCGTTTAAATAGTGCCCGTCATCTCACTGCCTAATTACACGAGCGCGTGTGGTTCCTTCGCCTGCTCGGCTATAAAAAGGCTCACAGAAGCCTCCCTTGTTTGGCCCCGGGGCAGTCCCAAGCAGGGTGTACAGTAGATCTCAGTGAGTTAAGGCATGGTCTTAGCTTAGTCCACAGCTCACTGGATCATGGGAGCTACAGCCTTCTGCCTCTCCCAAGCCGCGTGTCTCACACCGTGCAGTCTGGCTCTGTGATGGTGTGGGCGTGAGCTTGGCACGGGAGGCCACGCACCTGCTTTACTAGCGTGTTTATTTGTCTTAAGATCATATAACCCTTAGTCACGTGAGTCAGCCCTAAAAGGGAATGAGGTTCCCGCACACGCTACAACTAGCATGAACCCTGAGGGCTCCGGGCAGCATGGACGGAGCCAGACACACAACACGGAGACTGTGTGATTCTACCTGTAGCTGGTACCTGGGGCGGCAGACTCACTGAGACGGAAAGAAGAGTGCTTCCCGGGGCGGGGGACCAGGGCTGGGCGTCCGGGCCTCCTGGGTGTGGAGTGTCCATTTGGGAGGGTGACAGCTCTGAAGATGCACGGAAGTGATCCTTGCAGAGGGACAGGAAGGCACCTGGTGCCCCGCAGCTCCACACTGAAAATGGTCCATTTCATGTCACTTCTTGTCACCACAACTTATACAAATAAAATCACTTAAAAACAAGTTATAGTCCTGGGTGCTCTCCATGCACCTGCATTGGAATTTTGGTCACGTGTCCTCAGAGTGACAGTGTGTATCAAAAACATTATCAAATGTATCAAAATAATGTATCAAAAACATTTTTAAAAGTGACCTTGACCTGACAGTTTGTTCTCCAGCGATGCAGCCTATGGAATTATTCGGCTGCAGTGGTGCTGAGGTGTCTGAAGGCGGACCTTCCCTGGAGCATTGTTTACGGTGGCAAAAGCGTAAAGACCATTTCAGCAGCCAGCAAAGGGGATTGGCTAGATTAAGCGTGCACAATAGAAGCCCTAAAAATGGTGGTGCAGACCCCTCCTCGCGCCTGGGGAAAGGGTCCTGATGCCCTCTGACCAGGGCTGGGGCTCGCAGACTGTAGGACGTGGGCGCCATTTGGTCCCATTACTGGAAAGCAGCCATGTGTGTAGTCATTGACCTGGGTGTGTGCACGTGGGGAGTGTGCACCTGCACGCTGATGGTCATGGTAATCTGCCCGTCAGAAGTCGTCTTTTTTTTCCGTTGCTTATCGTGTCAGTTTTCCACTTTTGTGTGGTCATTATACGTCGCACTTCGAGCAAGCTCCTCTGAAAGAGTGACCTGCCTCTTTGCTTCTCCCTGCAGTTCCCTGACTACTTGCCCTGCTCAGTGATGCTGCAGCCAGCTCCCCAGGATGTGGGGAAGGTGAGTTCATGCCATGCAGTTGCTCTTCAACAACAGCCTTTCATCACGGCAAAGTCCCAACACACAGAGATAGAGAAACCAGCATGAAGACCCCTGGGGACCCTATTACTTGCCTTCAGCAATTATTAACCATGGGAAAACACACACACACACACACACACACACAAGAGAGACCCAGCCTCACGGGCCTCACCTATTAACGCAGAACCACAGGCAAAAACCGGCCAACAAGTAGCCTCACGGCTGCAGACACTGGTGGAAGCACAAGGCAGCGGCGCTGCTGGGGTCGTGGGGGTGTTTGATCGGGGCGCTTAAAGGCCTTCTGATAGGGCAGACGAGCCAGCCCTGTTCTCCCCGCAGAGAGCTTTCCAGCCAGAGGTAGCTCCCTCACCTCCTGTGTCCAGGGGCAGCAAGGGCACTGCAAGCGGGGTTGGGGGGCAGGGAAGCTAAGTTCAGAGTGAAAAGGAAGTGCAGCCGGATCACCAAGGGCCTTGCAGACCATCCCAGGGACTTGGGCTTTTGCCTGAATGAAACCGGAGCCATTGGCAGGCACCGCGGCTCACTAGGCTAATCCTCCGCCTGCGGTGCCGGCACTCCAGGTTCTAGTCCCGGTTGGGGCACCGGTCTGTCCCGGTTGCCCCTCTTCCAGACCAGTTCTCTGCTGTGGCCCCGGGAGTGCAGTGGAGGATGGCCCAAGTACTTGGGCCCTGCACCCTCATGAGAGACCAAGAGGAAGCACCTGGCTCCTGGCTTTGGATCAGCGCAGTGCGCTGGCCATAGTGGCCATTTTGGGAGTGAACCAATGGAAGGAAGACCTTTCTCTCTGTCTAACTCTGCCTGTCGG